TAACTCATTGAAACGTTTTTGCAATACAATGATGTGGCTAATAAAAGGAAAAAGCATTTCCATCAGTTCTAACAACATGCACGATGAGCTAGGCAACAAAGCATAGCGCAGGGCCCTGAGCTTCCAAGCTCTCTCGTTTCATACTCCGATGTGTTTTTATCTGTTAAATTCCTACACGGAATGTACGTATACTGGTGTATCAAATCCGTACGCATGCATACAGCAGAATCTACCTGCTACGTGTTCCGAATAACACTAGTTACTGAATGCAATAACAATGCACAAAACCAACCGGACTGTACTGACGTTCTACAATTAACTGGCTACCAACTCCATCACGTTTGGAGTCGGCGCTCTAACAGTATTCGAACTTGGAAGGTTCAACGTTGTATTAAAAACATGGGGGAGGAGTTGAGCGCAACCAAAACAAGTACGAGCTGAAAATCTCACTTGTCAAGGACGGTGGCAGATGTGTATGCCTGTTGATGACGATACTTTACAGGGTACCTCACTTCAAACTTGATACTGGCAAGACAATTGACTACACGATCAAGCCACGTTTAAAGCACGCAAAGAACGTTCTTCGCCAATTGTGTGGCTCAAAGATGCGAAGAAAAATTAAATGGGGAATCTATGCGAACATGAACAATTAAATTTGGAAGGCTGTATGAGAGCGCATCCCACATGTACCAGCGCTACAGACCGGTTAGTTGTAAAACGTCAGTACCGTCAGTCAGTGTCGTGGAATGGTATGAGCGAATTGTTTAGTTACTGTAGTGATAGTGTATTGCCCGTTTTCGAGTTGTTTTTGAATTGTTGTGGTCGGCGGTCATGTGCGTCCGCGGTGCCCGATCATAATACACTCTACTGTAAATGCTTTGCGAGAGTTGGCAAGCTCGGATGGCATGCTAAGAGTTATTTCGGAGACAATGTTGGACAGGACAGTGCGCATATAAGCTCACAGGCCTATATCCGGATATAAGCCCACCTCCGTTTATAGGCCCATGGGCTTATAAACAGACCCAAACTCCTTTACAGAACCGATACTACACCATATCAGTGCAGACTACATTACCAGTACCAGTACCAGTACCTAGGGTAGGCGGAAAACCGCGCACTGTACTTTTTCGCGTGCCAGCTGCTTCAAAATTCGAATATAGGCCCAGCTAGGCTAGGGCTAAAAAACGAAGCATTATTATTAATTTTTTCCCGGAAAATGCATGATTTCGCATATTAGCCTATTTACTTATATGCGCGGAACTACGGTATGCGTTTTACTGGTACAGAAGCTTTTTTTTGTCAAGGTCATCAAGGCAAAACAGCATAGCGTAGGGCCCTGCGGCGGTGACCGGATTCACTTGTCACTCCAGACGACAAGCTTCTCCTTGCACCAGCAACATTTTTCCGCGCAACAGTTGATGCAAAAGTGAATGAATTTTGCGTGTAGTTTTGGCGCTAGCCAGGGTCCACACAGCTTTAATTGGTATTTGTGTGTTTGTGTGTTTGTGTGTTTGTTTGTTTGTTTGTGTCACGCCTGGCGCTATCCCGTATCTGACGGCAAAAAAATCATTGGGGTGTTATAAATTATTCAATTTTCCTATTTATTTTTTCAGGCATATCCTGGGATTCGAACCCGCATTACCGCCCTACATGCATTCCCCCCATACACTTCGCATTCATACCCATTCTTCCAAGTTGCTTCACGTTTTTATCTTGCGTTTGAAAACCCTATTTGAATATTGCGGGCAGCTGTATGTGGCCAGCTGTGTTTGATGGTACGGTACGGTAGGGAGATGGTGTCGTATTACCCTCAATCGTACCTGTCCCATACCTATCCCCTACCGTACCGTGCCATCAAAGACGGCTGGCCACAATGCATATTCAAATAGGGCTTTCAAATGCAAGATCACAATGTGAAACAACTTGGAAGAATTAGTATGTTTGCGAAGTGTAGCGGGGGATGCATGCAGGGCGCGCGATAGTGCGGGTTCGAATCCCAGGTTATGTCTTTAAAAAAAGGATTTTTTTAAAGGATTTATAACATTCGGGAGAATGAAGTTGAAGACACCACTGCAGCTGTACTCAACCATGCATCGACCAGGCGCCAGGCGCGAACTGATGGTGGTGGTGGTGAGAAGGAGAGCTCTGTGCCAGAACTTTGCAGCCTAGAGAGCGTGTGTGGGCAGGCGTGTGTTTACCGCCATATTGCCAGGTGTGTCTTTACCACCATATTTATCAACCATAAGTACAGCTGCAGTGGTGTCTTCAACTTCATTCTCCCAAGTCGAGCTCCGTGTGAAGACATCCAAGAAGAAGATTGCCTGATGAGTCCAGCGGGGACGAAACGTACGTCGCAATCGAGCTATGTCGTTGCTGTGTCATCTGCTATGTGCCATGCACTACTTGATGTACCAGCCTGCTATGCCGGATACCGCCAACCATGCATCGACCAGGCGCCAGGCGCGAACTGATGGTGGTGGTGGTGAGAAGGAGAGCTCTGTGCCAGAACTTTGCAGCCTAGAGAGCGTGTGTGGGCAGGCGTGTGTTTACCGCCATATTGCCAGGTGTGTCTTTACCACCATATTTATCAACGATTTATAACATTCCTATGCTTTTTTTTTCTAGGCAAAAAAGCATAGCGTAGGGCCCTGCGGCGGTGACGAGATTCACTTGTCACTCCAAACGACAAGCTTCTCCTTGCGCCAGCAACATTTTTCGGTGCAACAGTTGATGCAAAAGTGACTGAATTTGGCGTGTAATTTTTGGATTTTACTTCAAGAGGAATGAAGAAATCACGTGCATCGCTACGTAGAAAAATGCTTTCTGGTTCACGGCACAATGCACACGATCACGATTGTACCTGATGCGCTATTCGAAAGGGACCATGAAAGAGGAGGTAAGATGCATTATATTTCTTGCATGCTCTGCTCAGAACATGCAGAAACTATCGTTATAGCACTAGCAGTATTTCAATGGCAAGACATATTACTCTTGCAGTAAGAACAGGGGTGCATTTTTTAACACTAACCTCGCTCATCCCGAATATGGTTCAACAGGAACTACGGCTAGTTTACATGCCAATGATCCACGTACATGTAGATCTGCAACAGCAAGGAATGACCGTGGTACATCAATCAAGGTCGCTTGGAGTTGACCAGCGCGCGGCCTACAGTGTACTAGCACCGGTTGCACGGGGTACGCATGTGTCGCGCCCACATGGCATATTTCTTACGTCATGGACAACTTACTTGATTTGACCCTACTACTCGCCCTATTCTGTGTGCTGCATGTTGAGGGAAAGTCCGGGCTGGAAGGCCTAAAACACGACATGTGTGCTCTTGAGCTGGACATCAATAATAATGCACTTGATCCGATCTAGATCAACTGGTGATCCATGTAAGTGCAGGTGTGCTTGATCAAGGCCAAGGTGACTCCGAACAACTGCTGAACCGTGATCTACGAGACCTGGCATTCTTGTGTCATGACGCACGTGATTTCATCATTCCTCTTGCAGTAAAATCCAAACACTACACGCAATTATTTAGTCACTTTCGCATCAACTGTTGCACCGAGAAATGTTGCTAGCGCAAGGAGAAGCTTGTCGTTCGGAGTGACACGTGATCACTGCTGTTTTTCCTTGTCAGAGTCAACAATACACTTTGTTCTGCAGCGTTGGGGGTGGTGTTGGAGTAGAAATTGCTGACTAGACGTCGCGGAGGGGCGAGCTTTCCTGCGCAGGTATGAGTTTGGACGTATTTCAGAATGGTCGAGTGGAAAAATTCAAAAATAGTTTATTTCAAGAAAGCCCAAAAAGGAGAATAGGGGACATGTCCTCGGCGCTAGAAGAGGTGTTCTACTATCTGCCGGTGTATAGTGTTGGCCAATTGAGGACGTAGCTCGCTGTTGTATCAGCGCTTGTAATTTGGCTATTTTCAAAACGATCAGTTGCGGCGTCAAGGGATGATGACCCTCGTCTTCAGGGATGCTGGCTTGGCTTTATGGTGCTCCCCCAAGATCTCTTCTAAGGTGAGGTCATGTTAGCTTGATGGAGTTTTGTTCTTAATTTGTTCTTGTACGCTGTGCCGTGGCTCATTTGTAGACCCATAAATCGTGCCAATATTGGGCCAATATTGAGGGAAATGCCAATTTCATGGTTCCCTTCAATAGATCTTGCGCGGGCTGTGTAGGGCAACTCTACTTCCCAAAGGAAACCTACCTGCAAAATTTGAGCGAAATCTGAGAGATCGACTTGCACAATATGTTCTGGATTTCTCAGACATGCTCTCCTAAGAAAAAATAATAACATCCCTATGATTTTTTGCCTAGGTCATCAAGGTAAAAAAGCATAGCGTAGGGCCCTGAGCTTCCAAGCTCTCTCGTTTCCGTAGCAATGCAGAAGACGTTACTTCAGTAACGTCTGGCGCTAGCCAGGGTCCAACCAGCTTTAATTTGGTGTTTGTTTGTGTGTTTGTTTGTGTCACGCCTGGCGCTATCCGTATCTGACGGCAAAAAAGTATATTATTATTATTATTCACACATATCCGCCGGATGAGTAAGCGTGGCCCATGCACCATGGGGACCCACGAATACAAACCAGCATATGTTCCCTCAGCAATACAAGCAAGCAAGCACGCAAAGATAAATGAGAGCCCAGGCAGCGAAAACAAAACGAAGAGAGATGAGGACATAGGCAACGAAAACAATTCCAAAGCATAGCCAGGGATTGAATGTGTGCATCTGGGTACGACAGTTAACACGGCTAGTGCAGCCGTACAGAGCGCAGCAGCATGAAAATACAAAAGTGCCCGCAGCAGCAGCAGCCAAGAGTGTGCAAACACTAAAAAAGAAGATCAGTCCATGAAAAAATTATTGTCGCCACAGGTAGACATCTCCGGCAAGAATGCATGCGTGCGCACAAGTAGGCAGGCAAGCATGTCAGATGTAATCGTATTATTATTATGGCCAGGCTAATTAACAGTGCTGTTTCGCAACGAATTCCATCAGCATTTATCATACGCCACCTTCCGAAGCTGGGCTAGGCCAGGTCGCGACAGAAGCACAAGCCCCAGCTTCTCCCGACAATCCAGTGAGAGAGTGGTTAGCAGTGTTGCTCTTGGTCTGCCTATCCTTCCCCGCAAGGCACCAGAAGCAGCAAAATCGAGAGCGACCTGTGGCGGTGCCCCTGATGGCATCCGGAGCACATGCCCCAGGAAGCTCCATCGCCTCGCCGCGATCTCCTTGGAGATGGGTTGGGTGGGACAGCGGTTGTAGAGTTCCGTGTTTTTGATTATATTTGGATACTTTATACGGAGTAGCGAGCGGAGGTGACGGCGGTGGCAAACGTCCAGAGACGTTCTGAGTGCCTCAGTGAGGCCCCAGGTAGCGCAGTTGTAAAGCAAAATGCTTAGAACGTAGCAATTGTACAGCCTCAGCTTCAACGTTAGGGAGATCCCTGATGACTGTAGAAGGCTTTGCATCCGGCCAAATGACTGCGATGCCAGAACCATTCGGTGTTTGATGTCCTCGGCAGTACCAGCTCTCGATCCAACCGACTTTGCCATCCGCCATTCTTCTTTCCCTCTTTTTTCCAGGTCTGCATCGCGGTAGAATTGGATCCGTTCAGTTTTCGCGCCGTTGACCATCAATTGGTGTTCTGGCATCTTCAGCACGCATACGTCATGGGTTTGTTCAAGATTTTGGTCATTTTCATCGAGGAAGTCAAGATCATCTGCGTACTGAAGTTCAGGGATAGACGGTGCTAGGCCTGTACTTTCTCTTCGGAACTGATGTCTCAGCTGCTGCAGAACATGTTCAAAGTAGCACGTAAACAGCACAGGGCTCAGGCAATCTCCCTGTGGTGTGCCAAGGCCAGATTGAAAGGCGTCTGCAGTCTGTCCGCATACTCTAACACTGAGCGTTGTGTCTACAAGCAGCGTTGAGACCATGGCTCGAGCATCAGGTACGCCAGGCGCTGCAGTGAGGATTGATTCAAGCAGGCTGTTTCTATGCGGAGTGTCAAAGGCCTTGGAGAGGTCGATGCCCAGCTTGTTGAATGACCACTGCTTATTTTCTACTAAACTGCTGAGAATACGAAGAGTGAATACAATATCACTCAATATCACTCAATAGAGAGGTTTTGCATTCCGAATTTCGGAATTATTTTCGGAATGTGGCGGAAGCAGTCGAAAAAGTAGTCGAACTTTCGGAAGTGTGGTGGCGAAAGTGCATGGTTTTCCGAAAATGGATTTTCGGCTCTTTAATGTTTGGGAGTGCATATTTGAATACTAAAAAGTGTATTTTTCATGTTTGTATTTTTGCTTTCTGCTGCTCTCGATTATTTAAAAAAATTTCCACTATGTAGTTTTGATTTTTCTGGTTTTGCTGCTCTCGCTGATCTCGCCATGTTGACTAATCTTCTCACACTTCATCACACTCTATCTTCCTTTGCCCTGGAGCCTTCTAACAGTACAAGACAGTAGTTCGCCAACCTCGTCTTCAGCTGTTGGATCACTTGGTCCACCATCAGTCCGTCCTCGTCTTCGAACCGCACCCAAATTCATTTTGACCTGCGCACATGGATTTGATCCTGCTCAACCCCTTCGACGCTCTCCATTTTGTTTTGCATGGCAACCCTTGGAAACGAAGTCGAATCAGATGTTCGGAATGCAAAACACTGAAAATACCGTTTTTCGGAACGCGCTTTTTTCGGAAAAGCACAGTCGAAAATCATTCCGAAATTCGGAATGCAAAACCTCTCTAATATCACTCAAAAAAGCATAGGATGTTATAAATTTTTCAATTCTCCCTTTTTGTTTTCAGGCATACCCTGGGATTCGAACCCGCACTATCGCCCTACATGCATTCCCCCATACACTTCGCATTCATACCCATTCTTCCAAGTTGCTTTACGTAATTATCTTGCGTTTGAAAGCCCTATTTGAATGTATCGGGGGATGCATGCAGGGCGCGCGATAGTGCGGGTTCGAATCCCAGGTTATGTCTTAAAAAAAAACAATTTCTTTAAAGAATTTATAACATTCCTATGCTTTTTTTTGTCTAGGTCATCAAGGCAAAAAAGCATGGCGTAGGGCCCTGAGCTTCAAAGCTCTCTCGTTTTATTTACCATCGTATGCCTCAGCAGTGATACACACTACACATAAGAGGGCCGATAACGGGATAAGTGGAAAGGAAAGGAAAAGAAAAGAAACAAAATAGAAAAAAGATTGGAATTCAGACATCAAGCAGTACAGTAATCAAACACCAAGTCAACTTCAAGCTTAGTACAAGAACTATCAAGATCATCGAGAAACTCAACAGATTCCAAAAAGAAAGTCAAAATACTTCTTAAACGCCACTGGGTCTTTAAAAAGTTCCCTGAGTTGGTTTGCAAATGTAGAGGTACGGTGGTGTTTGCGCCACTCGGCAGGTAGTTTATTAAAGAAAATTGCGGCACGATAAGAAAAAGAATTGACTCCATCAGTTGTCTGGTGCTTAGATATGGCAATGGAAGCATTAGAGTGGCTTCTAGTTCTAAGGCCTGTTGTGATCGGTGGAAATAATTCCGTTAGGGTAGGCAGTGAGATGATGACATGATTTCTATGAATAAACTGTGCAAAATTGAGAATCATATAGTGTTCAAAAGGATAAATCGCCAATGTTGTCAATAGTGGCGTGATGTCGTCCTGTGACTTAGCAACACAGGCAGCTCGCACAGCACGGCGGAACACAGTAGAGAGCCTTTGGCGGTCCTTAGCGGACAGCTTCGTCACAAAACACGAACAACAGCACAATAGATCATTTTGTTCTGCGTTTTCTATTCAAAAGTGGATAAGGAATTCTCGACTTGTTCCTCTATCAAATGACAGTGTTTCCAATTGCAGTAGATTTCATTTTCTGGTGTCGTGTACTAATCCCCATGGCAACATGAATTGTTTCTCTTGGTCCGTGAGAGAGGCTTGGCGGTGTCAGTGGTTCCTTTGTCTCTTCTATTTCTATACCTTAACCGAAACAAAACATTGTGGGAGAACTTCTCTCAGATGGGGAGTCAAGGAAAAAATGGTAAAAAAAAAAATTGTTGGCACAAGCTATGCGATCGAGTCCTCCACCCAAGCCAGATGGTCAAAAATGAGACTTGCACAATCTAGCACAAACTTGACAAAGAGTACTGAGGCATTCCACTGACTGTTCAAAATTTGTTTTCGTTGCTAGACAGGATCGCATTATATATTCGCATAACTTGTGCCTACATTTTTCCATGTTACAAACATTGTAGAATTTGTACGGCGAAAACAACAGATGAAAAATGAGGACCTCAACAATAAGCATAAAAATCGTACTTCATAACCAAAGAACCCTGCATGTGAAATCAACATTATTATATAGCAGTTAGGAGCTGCATTTGCCGCTATGGCTTACCGGTTGTTAGCGGCCGGCGTGATTTCCCTTCGTGAATGAACACGATAAATTACTTTTTTTCTCTTTTTTTCCTACAGCAGTGTTGGAGATCAGAAAAGACTGTATTCGTTAGGTGCGCGGTGTGGAAATTCGATAACACGTATTTGTTGTGAAAGTTAACATGCAAAGTCCGCAAGTCAAAGGTTGTAAAATGTTCATTGGACACACGCATCAAACAACACACACCACGTCACATGCTTCCACCTTGCGCGCAAGAACAAAGACCGAAGCAAGGGCGACCCATAAAACAACCGTTACCTACACAACTTGTGGATCCTGGTTCACAGACTGTGCTTGCTCCGCCGCCGCTGGTGGCGGTGGTAGAGGAGGGTGGGCGTGGTGGCCGGCTTGTGTCGCCACCTTTGCTACTGCAGTCAGTGGTTCCTTCGTCAGTGCCCCAGGCGGCTTTTACTGGGGTGGTGCCTCTTGCTGTCCCGGTCCCACTGCCTCCTATTGATCCTCCGCCGTCGAATCTTGCGGCGGTGGATCTTGCCAGTGACAGACTGCGAGCAACATCGAAAATGGCAATAACACTACAATTGCCAACTCAAAAAGACCCACCTTGCGTATCAGCAGCTCCCACACCATCACCAACAATGCAATCTACAGCAACCACAACTAATCCACCATCCAAGCCCACTATTGAAAGACCAAGACGATCAACAGCCAACTACAACAGAAGCTACGCACTCATCGGACAAGGGCGCAAGGAGGGACGTGTCAGCAGGGTGACGGCCGAGTCCCGTTCAATGGACCAAGTCAGGCGGGATAACCGAGAGAGCGGAGAGGAAGCGTGTGATGGGACGGCCGGTGAAGGGAGCAATGAGTCGGAGAGCGACGATTCTAGTGATCTTGGGAGTGGCGGTGAGGATGTTAATGTTGTGCGTAGGTTTCGTTATAGCAAGTCTTCAGTGTACAATCATCTGTTGGCTAGTCCTGATTGTTGCAATTCGTGTTCCGATCCTTCTTTCACATTATTGTTCCGTGGTCGTAACGGTTTTGGACTACAGTTTAAAGTTTTGGAAGCCATCTGTCAGCTATCTGTATAAGCCTAATTTGTGTGTACAGAAGGATAGTATAATTGGGTTGAAATTGTTCAAGTAAAGTGTCATGTTTAGTACGGCCAAGCTCGGCCGTTAATGTTCTAGGTGTAATGTACTGCTGTTTTTTGTTATCACTTTGTCCTTCCTTCTTTCTTTCTCTTCTGTGTTCATTTTCCAGTTGCAGTTTTTGTGTTAGTACACGCATTCGTTATTGCCCTCGCTTTCATTGTTAAAATTCACACTTGTAAATTTCACTGCTGTTGTTCTTAGTGTTACTTCTCATACTTTAGGTTTTCTATAATAGTTCAATATTGTTTTCATTTTCCTTTAGTAAAACGAAAATTCCTGATGAGTGTTGTACAACATTTCTTAACAATTTCAACGTTTTATTGCACATTGTCTCGAAAGTTTTACATTACATGAATAAAGTGTACACAAATGTCGATCCAGCTTGTATTAATGATGGCAGTTTATAAAATGAAGCTTATTTCTTCATACTTCGAGTAAATGTATTTCATAACCCTTTTCATTGTTTTTTGCATCGTCTCCATCGCTTACATTGTGTCATAAAGTAATCCAGATGTAGTAATCCAGATGTCTTTTTGCGATTGTGATGCTTGATGTGCACTGTGCTTCCTCGCATTCACTTGCTCCTTCTTGCAGCTCGTCTTCTTTTCCTTTTTTTTTGTTTTGTTTTGACGCTCTGTGTGCATTGCGCTTCCTCGCGCTCACTTGCTCCTTCTTGCGGCTTAAGCGAAGGCTATATGTGAGCTTTATAAGCTCACTGGTGCTAACGCGAAAAGAGCATAATAATAATAATAATAATAAGATGTCACTTCAGCTCGTCCTACTTATTGCCATAGTAAAAATAATAACAATACTACCACAGCACACAATCAAATGCCAAATAACAATGTATGAGAATATACTGAAATTAAGCCAAGTCCGCTTCTGTCTCCATCCAACAAAACAGAGGAAGAAGTGTATCACATTGGACAGAATTTGTAAGGGTGATGAAGGCGGGGGTTCGAAACTTACCATAACAGTTGCGTGTGGAGCAGTAGGCGCAAAGTGAAACGTGTGGGAGCAGTGAGGTCTGCCAGTGCCACCAACGAGGTGATTTCTCTGCATGCACAGGTCTGGGTGTGAGAGCAATAAGGTGATCTTTCTCTTCGCACATTTCTTGGTATGAGAGCAGTTAGGCGATTTCAACGTATGCACAGGCGTGGGTTGCATCGGCCTAAGAAGATCACTTGTTAATATGGAACCCGGCGGACACACCTAGCGTCAAAGCACTAGTAAGTACCATTCTTCGGGTAGCGACAGACATAACTATACATATTTAATACGTACTCTGACTCCAATGCAAAAGGCATAAACCGAAATGATTATTTTCGACATCTTGCAGGCATCATTGTTTGCCTCGGTACAAGAGATTGAATTCTCTT